AAAAAAAAAAAAGAATAAGACATTTTAAGACAAGCCATGCTTTAGAATATTTCCTAGTCATGCTCCCCTTATGAGAAAATTTCTCAAAAAAGTATTCCAGCTAAATAAAAAAGAAATGCAAAAAGAATAATATAAGGTATAAGAAATATAACTGATGATAATCTTCACAAGTAGAATTATAATTACAAGACTATAATATCCAATAAATCCTAATGAATGAGACATTATATCTTGAGAGCTAAGGGTTTAGTGGTTTAGGTTTATATTTCCCTCTATGCTTAGTTCTGCAGTGAGTATTTAGTAATCATAGTACAGCAATGTGCCAATGACTGCTCATCTCTCTCAGAGTTAAAACCAAAGGCCTTACAATGATCTAAATGATCTTACATGATTTAGCTCTTTGCTACTACCTCTCTGACATCATCTCCTACTGCTTTCACACATTACTCACTACTGCAAGCACAGTGGCCTCCCTGAACTTTCTTGAACACTGAATGTTCTCCCAGCTCAGAACTTGCTGTGGCCTCTGCCTGACCCATTTTCCAGACAACTCTATGTTTTTCTCACTCATTTTAGGGTTCTGCTCAAATGTTATCTTCTTAGTGAGGTCTTCCCTGTCTACACTATGTATAAAATTGCAATCAGCTGCCCCAAACTCTCTCTTCTCTATTTTTCTCCTCAGAACTTAATACCTTAAAATATATGTCATATATATTTTTTGCTTATTTATTTATTTAACCTCTAAGAAAGGAGCACAGCTTTCTTTTATACCATTTTAAAATTTGGTAATGTAAAAGTAATATACTAATGAAGATAAGGAGTTGGGATAGGAAGATGGGAAAGTCGTGAAAGTATGTTAATTGTATCATCTTGCATAATGAAGAGTTAATTATATTAAATAAATATCTAACCACCAGAAAATTGAAACAAAAACTTCTCAGGATGGTTCCCTCTGGGAACTTAGACTAGAGTGAAAGGGAAAGGAGAATTTTAGCTTTTCATCTATGGTTTTGATTTAGGGAGGAGGTTATGTTGCAGGTATTTTGTTTATTTTATTTGACTCACTGTTTTTTTCTAATTGAAGTTTATGGAGGTATAATTTACATACATTAAAATTTAAATTTACTCTTTTTAGTGTAGAGTTCTGTGAGTTTGACAAATAGTTGTGTAACCATAACAAAAATCAAGTATAGAACAGTTCCATCACTCCTCAAAATTTCCTTGTACTTGTAGTCAACCCCTCCCTCAAGCCCATGACAATCACTGATCTGTTGTTCTATTCTTTTACTTGTAACCTATGTCTTTTATTTAGTGTGGGTTTCTTGTAGACTGAGTATAATAGAGTCTTAATTCTTATCCGGTTTTTTATTACAGTACTTGTATTTTAATGGGTAAGTTTAGACTATTTACATTTAATATAGTTATTGATGCATTTGCATTAAAATCTAATAGTTGTTTTCTATTTATTCCATTTGGTTTTTGTTCTTATTTTTCCTTTTATTCTGCTTACTTTTGGATTTAGTATACTTTTATGAATCGACTCAACAGCAGTGGGTTACAGTTTTATGATTCCATTTTATCTTATGATTTGGAATCTACTCGATGGCAGTGGGTTTTGGGATTGACTTGTTATTTATACCTTTTTAAAAAATTACATTCAGTGGCTATCTACAGATTATTAATTTTAAAAAATCTAATTTAAAATTATGGATAGAAATTAAATCTGTATCAAAATGTTAATGTTTTTTAGGGGGCTGTGCTTGAATGAGTCTCCCCTATTTTTCTGTATATTGTTCCTAATTTCTTACATGAATGATTTTTTATTAAAAAATTAGAAAGAGAGCAGGAGAGAGAGAGATAGGGATGGAGACGGAGAAAGAACCCGGTCATCTGTGTGGAGGATGGCTTAGAGAGGTTAGGATAAGAATTACAGAGAAATATTTGATAAATTATAAATTACTGTTGGTTGATTTTTGATTGATATTAAAGTAAGCTCATATCTGTATACCATAAAATACATTGTAGCTCTTTCTCAGGGGTATAGATATTTTGTCTTGAGCAGAATAGATGGTTTTCCTTGACTTAGTTCTACCATTTATATTCAAAACTTGTAGAAGGTCAGTTATACCCTTTGTAAGTAATATGGGTTCCTGGATGGTGCAAACGGTTTGCACTCATCTACTAACTTAAAGGCTGGGAGTTCAAACCCAGCCGGTGGCACCTTGGAAGAAAGGTCTGGCAATCTGCTTCCATAAAGATTACAGCCAAGAAAACCCTATGGAGGAATTCTACTCTGGAACACATGGGGTCACTATGAATCAGAATCGACTCTGTGGCAACTGGTTGGTTTTTATTTGTTTGTTTGTTTTTTAATAAATAATATTACCAAAGTTAAAGTCCCTCCCTGGAAAAGCAAATGCTGTTAGAGTAGCCTTTAGGAAACTGTAAGAGCTTTGTCAGATCAATTCTATTATAATCAGAAATTCCAAAATATGGTCAAGTGGATATTTTCTAAAAAGTATAGATTCTATTTTCTATGATTGAAATAAGAGCAATGAAGATATACCTCTTAATTTTATCACTTGTCCTCCTTTCAATCCTTAAAACAGGTTCCATATCTGCTTTATAACTGACCTGTGACTTTTTGTTTTCTTTGTAGCTATTCGAAGGTTTTGTGCATAGCATTTGAAGTACTTCAGGGCTTGCAGTATATGAACAAACATGGTATAGTACACCGTGCACTGGCTCCTCATAATATTCTTTTGGACCAAAAGGTAAGTGTTAAATAATATAACAAATTAATGTTTATTTATTATTTGAGGTTGGATGCCACTGAAATCAGGCCTACTCAATTAATTAATTAATTAATTAATTAGAAGGATCAGACAATGAGAATGTATTTTAAGGATCTTTGTAATGAAAAGACTATGTGAAAGTGATATCACTGTGGTGGTTAGAAAAACATAAGAATCTTCGATTATATAAATCCGTGTCTTTCACATAGATTATTCTTTTTTTTTCCCCTCAAGACTCAATTTCTAAACTTCATGTTTTATTTTTTCCTCACGCTATTTTTTTCTAAAAGGTATCCCTTGCGGCTTCCCAAGCCTCACTTTGACTTTGCTTTTATCTTAAGTAAGCTTCTCAGACTATTTATATAGAATATTATTCTTCCAAACTTAACTGCGTTGTGTTTTTTCTTCTTTATTCTTCTTCCCTCTTTCCTTTCTCATTTATCTTCCTTATTTATCAGCTGTTAATACTTAACTTCCTTTTATATTGGAGTGCTACTTCTTTACTTGGAAATCTTAATGGGGGATTAATAAAAAGCTAAGTAAGCCTTTTAAGAGAATTAGGGAATATTTTCAGGAATAATCATGGTTCCATTCCTCTTAATAGGCATATAAAAAGTTTTTGGGAATTTATTTCATGACAATTTTTTCAGTATCAGTAGGATTATCCCTTTTCTCTGATTCTATTCCAGACTTTCAGTACAGCTGCCCTGTGGTATTAAAAATCACAAAAGAGAAAATGATGCTTATTAATTTCAGATTTATGGTAATAGAGTATCATTGCCATAGCCAATCTAAATTGTTTTAAAATGTAAATATTCTATAATGCTAGAAAATAAAGTTCCTGGGAAGAAAACAAACCAATTTTAAAATTGACTTAATTTTTTTAAAGCCATAAGCATCTAAAAGGGGAAAAACTTAAGGGACTTATAAGATTTATATTTGCCATATATTAAGAATCTCACACTTAGGATAATTATGTTATTCCCAAACAATACTAAACATTGTTAGAAGTCTAGGAGATTCACCAAAATCTTGATGATTTTTGTTTTTATTTTTTAATTATTTTTTCCCATACAAAAATTTATAGATAACATTGTTATGTGACTCTAATTGCTCTCCCCATACTGTGACATGTGACAGCACACTCCTCCTTTCCACCCCTGATTCCCCGTGTCCATTCAACCAGCAAATCTTCATGATTTTTGAACCAGTCTTTCCAAGTTAAGAATTTCCATGTCAGGATTAAATTATTATATTAGGAATGAATTTCCAACTTCCTGAAAAAAATTCTTTTGTGAAAATTATCACAAAACATTCTAACCAAGGATTCAAGAAAAATGAGAACATTGTTGATTTACCAAAAAGCCTTGGATAATATAAACAGCCAAACTTTTAAGAAAATGTGATTTGTTATTTTGAGATACACACACATACCACAGTCCTGGTGGTGCAATGGTTAAGTGCTCAGCTGCTAATCACAAGGTCAGAGGTTTGAACCCACCCGCAGCTCCGTGGGAGAAAAGACCTAAGATCTGTTCCCATGAATATTACAGCCTAGGAAACCCTTTGGGGCAGTTGGGCTCTGTCCTATTGATAGTGTTGCTGTGAGTGGGAATCAACTCGACAGCACACAACAAAAACACATGCACATCTATACTGAGTATAAAGCAAAATTTAAACATTGGCAGATAGTTTGTGATAATAGTATGGTAAACTAAAATATAATTTCTTAATGTTTATATAATGGTTTTCTTACTTATAAAATATATAATAATAATTTTTGTTTCCAGTAATATTAAGATATTTCATGTTGCTTTTGCTCCTTTATTATTATAGGGGCATATTAAATTGGCTAAATTTGGACTTTATCACATGACAGCTCATGGTGATGATGTTGATTTCCCAATAGGGTAAGAATATGTTTTCTTTTATTCTAAGTTCTATCGCTAACTTTGTAATCTTTGATAAAGTGTATATTTTTGCTAGTTATTAGTAAAGTACTGCTTTTTGATTCTAAAAATAGCTTTTCTCATTAATACGTGTTAATTTCCCATATATATTTTTAAAAGAGTAGCAATGAATTTTTTCCAGCATCCTAGAGATCCCTAATGTAGATCCTTCATTGAGCTGGCAGAGAGGCTAATAAATCATTGATCATCTTCGCTTTATAATGCTTACTAATTAATTGTATTTCATTCAAAGTTAGATATGTTTAAGGTAAGTTCATAAGATTCTCATGTAATGACAATGTGTATGCATCAGGAGACAGAAAAACCTCTCTCACATTATTTTCTATTTAAAGTTTTTTAAGTTTAATTTTCTATTCTCTAAAACCTAACGATATATTAAGACTCTAGCTGAGTTATAATAGATATCAGAGGTAATGGACTGAATTCTGTACCTGTAAATCTAGATTTAAGTTTGGAGGGCTCCATTTGATCACTTCTGATATAGAATTCCAGATGTATGTTGGTTTTCAAGAAAAGGCCATAAGTTTATTTCATCCTGTACCAAAATGAGTGCCTTTGAAATAGATTTTTGTGTTACATTTATTGTGTGATTGTGTGGTTTTTTAAAAAAAATTTTAGTAATATAGTTTTTTTGGTGTGTGTTTCATTTTTACATAATTTTATATGCATACACATTATAGAAGTAGTACAAAGAATTCCTGTGTACCCTTCGCTCAGATTCCCTAAAGTAACTTTTCACTACATTTGCTTTATGTCTCTCTTTTTTTTCTGTGACTTTGTGTGTATGTGTGTTTAAATATAATTTTTTTTCTAGATCGTATAAAAATAATAGTCGTTTTTGATTGCCCTTTATCCCTAAATACTTCAAATTGTATTTTCTCCAATAAGAAATTTTCCTACATAGCCACAGTACAGTTATCAAAACCAGGAAATTAACATTGGTGCAGTACTATTATCTAATCTAGAGGCCTCGCTCATATATTTTCAGTTGTTCTGTGGTTCCTTTTAATAGTATCCATTGCTCTTTGGGCTTTCTAAAAATCAGTTCTATCACAGCATTACTGAGAATTGTGGTATGGAGTCATGGAGTTTTGTTTTGTTTTGGAAGCTGAACATTGCTTAAAAACTTACTAAGATACAAACAAACCAAAAAAAAAAAAAAAGCCTCATTTATAAATTATCCTTTTATCTTTATAACTTAGATTGTAGGTTTCTTATGTAAAATTTTCGTTAGCTAAGACATAACTGATAATCTTCGATTATAATAAATCATTTAGCCTTTCCTTCTTTTGTTCATTCAGAATACGTTTCTTGAACACTTTCTTTTCTAGGTGCTAGATATACAAAATGAGTAAGATAGGTTCCTGTCCTTAAGAAAGTCAGTGTATAATGGAAAATTTTACTTTTATGTCCTACTTAATAAGGTACACAGATTCATAATCTTATAGTTTTGCATATCAAAAACTTGTAGTTATAAGCAAGAAACAATTCTTTTCTGAAACATAAAGCAATATAATGTAAAGAAAGTTTACAGTTTCCTATTTGTTTAAAATTCCCTTTAGAATATAATGTGAATAAGTTCATAGTAAAGCTCTAGCATCTTTGTCATATGTGGTAATTGCCTTTTGAAGTGGCTGCTGCTGCTTCCTTTTGTCTAAATCAATTTGTTTTAAAGACAACTCTAAAAACATAATGGCAAATAAAAATTACATATACTTACCACAATTGGAAAAGAATTACTTTATTTTTTCAACTTCTACTTCAAGGTGCTTTAGGTTTTAGTGTTGAATAGAAGAAAGCAGGTGATTTTTCTTAACGCACATCAAGCATTCTGAAGAAGTACACTTAAATATTAAAATGCTTAGATAGAATTGGTTTTGTTTTACCATTTGGTCTGGCTTACTTTGAAGTCTTGGACCCAAAGGGTCTACCAGAAAGTATCAAAGAGCAAAATGTGGAACATTAGCCAGAAAAAATAAAGTGATCAAACAGCTAAGGCACGAAAGAAAATATTTACACCATAAGAATCTTACAGTTGAGTCAAAAGACAAATATTAAGGAACAACAACGTAAAATGATAACATCTGTTTCAAAATTTTGTAAAGAGTTAGAAATTGGATATTGATTTCAGTTGGCCAGTGGCTTCATACTTTGTTAAAACATCAAACAGATGCTAAAAGCCCACTATATTACCTCACCAGTCATACTCACAGCAAGTTCTAGTAATTGTCTTTGAGTGTTAAAATACTGTACTAAAAAAGATAGCCTTGTTGAAAAGAGATTATCTACATTAAAGAACAATTCTAGGGCTTATTGTTTTTATTAATCTTTGTCATTGATTAAAAGGGAAAATAGAAATTTGGAGCAAGGACTACCTCTGTGCTTTTGAGAACTCCCGCCAGAATTTTTGATAGAATAATTTACTGATGATGTTGCTTGAGTTTTCATTACCCATACTATAGTTTTTAGTTTAGTTGTGCTGGAAATACATATTAAAAATGAACAGTTTGCCTCCTAGATATATCATGGTGATGATAATGATAAACTATAATACTGCATTTGTGCCACATTGTCCATTTTTATAAAGCATCTTTATGTATTCACCATTATTTATAACAGCTTTGTGCGGTAGTCGTTATTCCCTAATTTGCAGATGAGAAAGTCCAAATCACATATTTAATACGTGGTAGGACTGGAATTACAACACAGGTATTAAAACATCAAGTCCTGTGCTTTTTCCACTAGGTTCCAGCTGTATCCAGAGATTTCACACATTCATTAAAAAGAAGAGCAATATGTTCTTCTTAGGGTAAAATGACAGTATAAATTTGTGTATGAGAGAAATACATGAACAAATTAAAAGAAGATAGTGATATCACCATCATTATTGTATTAATTAAAATGACAAAGGAATAAAAAAAATTCATATGACTTTAAAGTTATATTCCCTGACTTAATTGACTTGTATTTCACATGTAAATCAGAAGCACTGGCAATCATTGTGTAAGGACATGACTTTAGAAAAAAGAAAGGAAGAGAAATAGAATTAATATTTGCGTACCTACTTTACATAGATGTTATATATAGTTAAATACATTTGATGTAGTCTTTAAATACATTTGATGTAGTCATTACTGAAAGATGGCATAAGGATTATCTCCTAATTATTAAATTGCTTTGTATCATTGAAAAAAGGGTATGTACATATATAATGAGTAGGGCAGAATGACTAATATTTTTCATTTTTCTTCAAAAGCTGTTTTTGTTTTGCTCATTTTCTTTTCTAGGCAGTGGAATTCAAATTTAGCAAATTACCAATAAGTCTGATTCTTATGTACTGTCTGCTTTTTAGATTGTCTATTCAGCAGGACTCACAGGCATTTTTGATAGGAAATTTTCTTTTTTTTTTCCTTTTATAAAAATATACCGAGCATACCTTATGTTCAGGTCACATTGGTGGTTGCTGAGGACTTATACAAATGACTAATATAACCAGTGTCCTGAAGGTGGTTTTCTATTGTTGTTTTTTAGACAGGAGGTTAACTGTGTAGTTAATATTATACAGTATATAAAACATATAAAATGTATCATATATCATACATAGTATGTTACATAAAATATAAAACAGGTAAAACGAGTACCTTATAGTCATCAGAGAACCATAAGAAGGATACAGGTAAAATACTATGAGAATTCACTGAAAGGAGAGAATAGTTCCATCTCAGCAGATGAACTAAGATTTGACGAAATTATTCCTAAAATGAATTTATCAGAAAATTAAAGTTAGAAGTTCACCACGTCTTATGCAGTATACTCTTTGTAAATGCTCTGTCTTTTTATTATTAAATAAAACTGTTTACATTTATTAGTTTGTGAGACAGCAGATATTAGAAGAATTTTTGTCGGGTTGGAAAATTTTTTATGTAATAGTATGCTTCCCCTTATATTTACCACTGAATTCCCTGCTATGAATTTCTCTGTGGTAGACGAACACAAATGTTTACCTACAATGAAATACACTGGAATTAACCTGTATCAAATTCCAGTAAGACCTTTAACCTAAATGTAGTAAAGTACTGAAAGGAGTTTAAAAAAACAAAAAAAACCTAGTTAACCTAATCAGGAGAAAACTCAAATGTACATAATAAGATATGGTAATGGAAAAATAACCAGAGACTCGGAGAACATTTAGTGAATCTATTAAGACTGTTTTGCTTAACTCAATGCAAATTTGCAAAGTAGGATGAAATGGATGATTTGGAAGGAAATTATAAACTACCAAAACTCACCCCTAAAGAGAACTTTTATATCTAAATAGGCCAATTACAGAAGTGTAGAAAAAGTTGCTTCTCCTCAGAAAAATGTCTCAGCCAGACTTTCATAGACGAATTCTACCAAAGCTATAATGAATGGCTAAGTATGTTGCTATTTAAATTAGAATGATATACATTTCAGGATGTATTTTTTAATGGGATGCTTCTGATTTCTTTTTTAATAAGCCAGTATAACATTAATCCTAAGACATGCCAAAGATACCACATAACAAGTCTAAATACAAATCTCAGATGATATTAATGTAAAAAATCTTAAATAGAGTATTTTTAAACCAAAACCAGAGCATATTAAAAGACACTATCATGTGTGGTTTATTTTAGCAATGTACAATTAGTTTAGGAAATCTATTAATATAATTTAGGAAGATAATATGTCAAAAGTAAAAAAATCACTTAGTCATTTCTGGAGATAATGAAAAACATTTGATAAATTCAGTATCAATAATATACTTGATTAAAATTTTTAATAAAAATACTAGATTAATACTTCCTTAACATGATAAAAAAAGTCACCCATCCATCTATATCTATCTGTCATTAGAGATATGTCTCATCCCACAAGTTAGCAGGTTCAAAACAAGGATATTTATTAACACCACTATCATTGAAGAGGAAACCCTGGTGGTGTAGTGGTTAAGAGTTTGGCTGCTAATTAAAAGGTCAGCAGTTCGAATCCACCAGGCACTCCTTGGAAACCCTATGGGGCAGTTCTACTCTGTCCTATAGGTTCACTGTGAGTTGGAATTGATAGCAATGGGTTTGGTTTTTTGTTTGTCATTGAAGAATGTATTGTTGGTACTAATAAATGCATTAGACATGGAAAAGAAATAAGACGTATATAAAAATTGGAAAGGAGGAGATAAAATTATAATTTTTCAAAGTAGCTCAGAGGAACAAAAAAATCTCAGGCATAAAATCAAAAACAATAAAGATCATGGAAGAAAAACTAGGGACGATGCTAGGAACCCTAATACATGGCATAAACACAATATGAACCATAAGTAACAATGCACAAGCACCAGAAGAGAGACTAAATAACTGGGAGCTGCTAAAAATCAAACACTTATGCTCATCAAAAGACTTCATCAAAAAAGTAAAAAGACAGCCTACAGACTGGGAAAAAATTTTTGGCTATGACAAATCTGATCAGCGTCTTATCTCTATAATCTACGAATACTACAAAACCTCAACAACAAAAAGACAAATAACCCAGTTAAAAAATGGGCAAAGGATATGAACAGGCACTTCACCAAAGAAGATATTCAGGTGGCCAACAGACATGAAGAAATGCTGACGATCATTAGCCATTAAAGAAATGCAGATCAAAACTACAATGAGATATCATCTCACCCCAACAAGGCTAGCAGTAATCCAGAAAACACAAAATAATAAATGTTGCAGAGGTTGTGGAGAGACTGGAACACTTATACACTGTTGGTGGGAATGTAAAATGGTACAACCACTTTGGAAATCGATTTGGCGCTTCCTTAAAAAGCTAGAAATAGAAGTACCATTCAATCCAGCTACCCTGCTCCTTGGAATCTATCCTAGAGAAATAAGAGCTGTCACACGAATAGATATATGCACACCTATGTTCTTTGCAGCACTGTTCACAATAGCAAAAAGATGGAAGCAACCTAGGTGCCCATCAACGGATGAATGGATAAACAAATATGGTATATCTACACAATGGAATACTACACAACAATAAAGAACAACGATGAAGCCGTGAAACATCTTATAACATGGAGGAATCTGTAGGGCATTATGCTGAGTGAATTTAGTCACTCACAGAAGGACAAATATTGTATAACACCACTATTATAAGAACTCAAGAGAAGGTTTAAACTTAGAAGAAAATATCTTTGATGGTTACAAGGGTGGGGAGGGAGGGTGAAGGTTATTTACTAACTAGATAGTAGTTAAGGATTAGATGAAGGGAAGGACAGCACACACTACAGGGAAGTCAACTGGACTAAACCAAAGCTAAGAAGTTTCCTGAATACAGTCAAACACTTTGAGGGACAGAGTAGTAGGGATAGGGGTCTGGGAACCATGCTTTCAGGGGGCATCTAGGTCAGTTGGCATAACAAAGCTTATTGAGAAAATGTTCTGCATCCTACTTTGGTGAGTGGTGCCTGGGGTCTTAAAAGCTTGAAAGTGGCCATCTAAGATGCATTGATTGGTCCCAGCCACCTGGAGTAAAGGAGAATGAAGAACACCAAAGACACAAGGGAAGTATTAGCCCAAGAGACAGAAGGGGCCACATAAACCAGAGACTCCATCAGCCTGAGACCAGAAGAACTAGATGGTGCCTGGCTACCACCAGTGACCACCCTGACAGGGAACACAACAGAGAGTCCCTGATGGAGCAGGAGAAAAGTGGGGTGCAGAACTCAAATTCTAGTAAAAAGACCAGACTTAATGATCTGACTGAGACTTGAGGAAGCCCAGAAAGCATGGCCCCCGGGTTCTCTATCAGCTCAGAAGTAAAACAATTTCCGAGGCCAACTCTTCAGACAGGGATTGGACTGGCCTGTGGGACATAAAGTGATACTTGTGAGGAGTGTGCCTCTTAGCTCAAGTAGATACAAGATACTAAACGGGCAGCTTCTGTCCAGAGGTGAGATGAGAAGGCAGAGAGGGTTAGGAGCTGGTTGAATGGACATGGGGAATCGGGTAGAAAGGAGGAGTGTGCTGTCACAACATGGGGACAGCAGTTAGGGTCACATAACAACGTATGTATAAATTTTTGTATGGGAGACTAACTTGAAATGTAAACTCTATTTAAACTACAACAATAAACAAAAAAGTCTCAGGCATGCAAGGTTGGTTAAACATTAGAAAATCAATTAATGTGATTAAAATACTTAGCAGATAAAAGGAAAAGAGTCATATGCTCTTTGTAATAGATGCAGAAAAGTTGTTTTAAAAATTTCAAGTTTATTTATTATTAAGACTGATAAAGATTATTTAAAACACACACACACACACACACACACACACACACACACACACACACACACACACACACACACACACACCAACATAATGGTGAGAGGTTAAAAACATCCCTTTTGTGATTATGACCAAAACAAAGATGGCATCTCTTCAACTATTAGCACTTTTTTCCCCCAATATTTGACGAGAATTTATAGTCAGCACATGTGAGGTAGAAAAAAGAGCTAAAATATATAAGAATGGAAAGGAAGAAAGAAAACTGTCATTTATTCGCAGATAATTTGATTATCTACAAAGAAAACCTAAAAGAATCCTCTCCACATTATTAGAATTAATAAAGGTTTAGCGAAGTTGCTGCTTACAAAAGTTAATACACAAAAATAATTTACAAAACCAACAAAAAAATGTGAAATATCTAAGGATAATCAAGCATATTCAATATTAGTAGAAAAAAATATATAAATCATTTCTGAAAGAAATTATAGAAGACCTAAATAAATAGGGAGATATCCCTTGCTGATAGATTGGAATACTCAGTATTGGAAAGATGTCAATTCTGTCCATCCTGAGTCTAGATTTGATTTATTTTTAATAAAATTTCCAACTCTGTGTATGTGTGTGCATGTGAAAGAGAGAGAACTTGACAAAATAGTTCTAAAATGAACTTCTAGAGCAAACATCTAAGAACAGCCTAGACACCCCTGAAGAAAAACTAAAAAATGTATGTGCTTTGGAAAGATTTGTTTTATCAGTCATCAGTAATTATTTATATAAAGTTATGGATTTAAAATGTAATGGTATAAGATTAGGCAAATTTACCAGTGGAACTGAATAGGGAGCAAAGAGGCAAGCCTACCCATATGTGGTGATTTGATTTATGGTAGACCTGGCACTGCAGAATAATGGGAAGGACTCAAACGATATCCATGTAGGAACAAAAAAAAAAAAAAAAATCAATACAATTTTACCTGAACCTCATGTCATACAAACAATTGATTCTAGATGGATTAAGAAACTTAAATATGAAGGGATAAATATCAAACGTTTAGAAAATAACACAGGAGATTATCATTTTGACAAGATACAAATCACCAATTGTAAGGGAAAAGATTGATTGAATTAAGATTAACAGCTTCTCATTCATAAATAGATACCATAAATAGCATGAAAAGACAAGCCACAAAGTGATAGAAGATGTTTCAACTCATAATTACTGAAAAATAAGAGTTAGTATCCAGAATTATAAAGAATTATAAAGAACTCCTATAGAAGAATAAGAAAAAGAGCAGACAAGAGTTAACCAAGCAGGTTTATGACAGCTATCTTTGGTCTGCTTGCAAGGTTGACCATTGGCTTGAACCTGGGAACTTGTATTTTGGAAGTGTTCCCATCGTTCTATAACCAATAAAAGCGGTTTACTGTGCCTGCTTGTGTAAACAGTGTGTTTTATGCTTCTCTTCTAGGGGTCTTGAATTTGGTATATGCTAGGCAGAGGGTGCCAACATAAGCAGCCCCCCATAAAAACCTTGGACAGTGAGTCTTTAATGGGCTTCCCTAGGTTGGAATATTATCCAGCATATGTTTCTACACTGTCATTGCTGGAGAAATAATGCATGCTATGTGATCCCTGATGGGAGAGAGAGTAGCTTGAAGAAACTTCCATATAGATTCCTCTAGACTCTGCCTCTGTCTTTTCCCCTTATGATCTACCTTATGACCTTTTAGTGCCACTTCTAGAATTTATCCATCAGCAATACATGTATTTGTGGGAAATGGAATATTTATAATATATTATTTCAGCAGTTTGTAATAGTATAAGAATGGACCTTCCAAAACATCATCAGAGTTTGATCAAATAAATTAAGTGCATCTAGACAATGAAATTCTTTGTAGTTTTCAAAAGGCATGAGACGATTCTGTATTTGTCTTTATAGAATGAACTCTAAAGCATAGTATTAGGTGGGAAAAAGAAAAGGAATAGAGCAGTGTGTATAGTATGCTATCATGTGCGGCAGTGGTGATGAGTGGATAAGTAGATATAAATATGATATAGATACATAAACATACACACACATATATACATATTGGGGGTAAGGAGGGAGGAATATCTTAGGAAGGACACATAAAAATCTGGAAACATTGATTATTGCCCACTGGGTGACTGGAATACAGAGATGGGAGAGAGAACTTACTTTTCAATTTATATATTTCAAATCTATTTTTTTTTTTTACTTTTGTACTACTCTAAAGAGTAAATACTGTTTTAAAAGATAAAATGGACTTTAAATAATAGTTCAGTATAAAGAGAAAATAGCCAGTTTACTCTTGATTCCTAGACATAAATGTCTGTATTACAATAGTTAGTTTAGAATTCTTCCTAACAATAGTTGTGTATTTAATTGCATGGAACTTTTATATAGATCTTACCACACCAATAGTAAAAATATACTGCTACTTCCTTCTCCCTTTCCAGTATATAGTAATTATCCATTATTTTAATACATCATTATAGGTATCCATCATACTTGGCACCCGAGGTAATTGCACAAGGAATTTTCAAAACCACTGATCATATGCCAGGTGAAAAACCATTGCCTTCTGGTCCCAAATCAGATATATGGTCTCTTGGAATCATTTTATTTGAGCTTTGTATGGTATGTATAAATAAAAGTTAAAGTAATATAAGTAAATTGTGTGCTTATTGGAATGAGCTCTTTATAGAAGAGTTATTTGGTAATGGGTTTTTACTTTACAAATTGATTAGATATGAGGAGAAAAAGCTTCATTTTCAATTAGACTTTTAAAAAAATCTTGTTTGATAATAATTTGCATTATTATTTTGGTATCTCTAGAAATATTTAACTGCTTATACTTTTTTATACATGACATGTTCTCTATGTTATCCTTTCTTCCTTAAATAGACTTTCTTATTCTGTTCTCCAAAAGATCAGCAGTTCAAATCCACCAGGTGCTCCTTGGAAACCCTGTGGGGCAGTTCTGCTCTGTCCTATAGGGTCGCTATGAGTTGGAATTGACTCAATGGCAATGGATTATTCTGTTCTCAAGACTCCATTTGGACTTTGACTTTTTATGAAGTCTCCCCCAGATACCCCTCTAGGGTAAAGACCAAGCTTCTATTTTAAAAAAGGAGTTAAAAATACAGTAGCTTAGGGAACATAGATGTTTTTCTCTCTCATGAAACAGTCCAGAGTGGGTAGGTGGACTCTGTCTCACGTCATGTAGAAACCCAGGCTATCAGGGATGGCTCCACCTTTCTCAATACCTGGTTTTCAAAGTTGCTCCCTTTATCACCTATTCTAGCAGAGGGAAAGGGGAGGAATGAGTTCAGGGCAACTGTCTTAAGGTAGATGATCTAAAAGTTCCAAGTATCAAGTCTTTACTTTTCACTAGCGATAATTTACTCATGCGGCCACATCTACATACAAGGGATGCTAAGAAAAGTAGTCTTCAGCTGGATACCTAAATATTGAAGAAGAAGATGAGAATAGATTTGAGAGGACAACTAATAGTCTATCAGGTCCTCCCCACCTATCTACCCTGTCTCCAAATACGTATGGTAGGTGCCCATTTGACTCTGTTCTTTTTTTTCTATATATCATGTCGTATTTGTCTACTTTACTTGAACTATAAGGTCGTTCCAGGTAGAAATTTTGATTATTCATCTTTGAGCTAATAATGTACTTACTTAGTCCAATTCTAGCATATAGTAGGTACTCAAAACATATTTATTGAAATGAATATTATTTCTGTCTTCCGAAGAATTTTCAAAATATTTTGAAAATATTAGCTCAGTGATCTCTAGGTTGACATTATTTCTTTAATTTTGTGTATTTAAGAATTAATTAACAGTTGAGTTTGTGAAACATGATAGTTAGGAGACAAATCTCCGTAGTGAAGAGATTTGGGCTTGAATTCTGCTGCTACAGAGTATAGCTGTGTGACTTTGAATAACTAACCTAACTTCTCAAGCCCTAGATCCTCCTTCTATAAATTATAATAGTCTCTGTATTTAAAGTTGTTGGAAGAAATTAAATGAAATAATGTTTATAAAGTATTTACATAGTACAGAGTCTGGCATAGCAAATAATCAATAAATGTTACCTTTTATTATTAATAATAGTAAAATAGGAGTTAATTTATAATGACATGGTAATTTACATGCAGCACTGCTTTTTATAAGGGAAATGCCACATTTTCTGATTCTTTGCTATCCTTTGTCCAGACCATCCTATTTTTTATTGCTATAGAGCAATACTAAATTTTGTTTTTCTTTAAAATCCCAGTTTAAATGAAAAATTATATTGGAATGTGAATTGGAAGTATACATAAGCGTAAATGTGAAGTATACAGATTTTCTTTTTTATTACCATCATCTATATCTAAATTCTTTACTAATGATCTGGGTACGTTTTATGTGAGTAATATACTGTGTGTATGGAATCATGCCAAATTTTAGAAGGGATAAAATATGATTAAGACATAGTGTCAAAGAGCTTATAATTTAAATTCAAATCATAAACTTCTAAAGTAAATACAGAGAGTTGTGTGAATTCAAGAAAAGAAAGATTAATTCCACCATAAGGGTTTCATGGCATTTAAAGTGGTATTCAAAGTTTGAAAAGTCCAGTTTAAGAATGGCAGACTAAACATGAGCTTAAATCTTTTCCTATCTCACAAAACCCTTAGATTTGATATAAAATATTAAGAAATACCTGAATACAATCACTTTGATGGACAGAGTAGCAGAGGTAGGAGTCTGGGGACCATGCTTTCAGGGGACATCTAGTTCAATTGGCATAACAAAGCTTATTAAGAAAATATTCTGCATCCTACTTTGGTGAGTGGTGTCTGGGGTCTTAAAAGCTTGAAAGTGGCCATCTAAAATGCATCGATTGGTCCCAGCCACCTGGAGTAAAGGAGAATGAAGAACACCAAAGACACAAGGGAAGTATTAGCCCAAGAGACAGAAAGGGCCACATAAACCAGAGACTTCATCAGCCTGAGACCAGAAGAACTAGATGGTGCCCCGCTACCACCAGTAACCACCCTGACAGGGAACACAACAGAAAGTCCCTGATGGAGCAGGAGAAAGGTGGGGTGCAGAACTCAAATTCTAGTAAGAAGACCAGACTTAATGGTCTGACTGAGACTTGAGGAAGCCCAGAAAGCATGGCCCCTGGATTCTCTATCAGCTCAGAAGTAAAACAATTTCCAAGGCCCACTCTTCAGACAGGGATTGGACTGGCCTGTGGGACATAAAGTGATACTCGTGAGGAGTGTGCCTCTTAGCTCAAGTAGATACAAGAGACTAAACGGGCAGCTTCTGTCTGGAGGTGAGATGGGAAGGCAGAGAGGGTTAGGAGCTGGTTGAATGGACGTGGGAATCGGGTGGAAAGGAGGAGTGTGCTGTCACAGTATAGGGAGAGCAATTAGAGTCACATAACAATGTATGTATAAATTTTTGTATGGGAAAAAATTTTTAAAAAATTAAGAAATAAATTATTAACACCAACAACTAACAAAGGGACCTTTTGGCTTCCTAGAAATTCTAAGTAAATAAATAAGAAGCTATAGCTAAGACCATTTTGCCAAGAAGCACTTGCCATATCACCAAAAAGTAAATAAGTACAGCGACTCTGCTGCCTAGAAATTTCCAAGTCCAAAATTTGTGTAGGCAGTAGGAGAATTCTGTATCAAAGGGTGAGTACATGTCTAAGAAATACCAAATATCTAAATATGACCTCTACAATTAAAAAAAAGAAACAGCCAATAGAAAACTTTACATCTCAGAAACAGTGTTTAAAGTCCATTAATATGGCTTTAAAATAAATATGTGTGTTCTTTAAAAAATAAAGAAATAGTTTTATTGATGAAACAATTATAGAGGCTATGGAACAAGAACAGTTATTGTAAAGAACAACCAGTTAGGGCTTTTAAGAAAACAAAAATGTAATTATTGAAATAAAGAACTTGATAGATCATAGCAATCTAGGCACAACTGAAAGTGGAAGATGAAGTTCGGTAATTCTCCGAGAACATGGCAAGAAAAGATAAAGAAATATAATATAAAATAAATTTTAAAAGGCAAGGAAGATAGATCTAGACTTTCTAACATCTGTTGTGTATACAGGGTAAAGCAATTACAGAACAACCAAGATTTGAGAAAGGGAGGACTAAATATTTCTCAGAGCTGGAAGAAAGGCATAAGTGCTCAGTTTGAAAGAACTCACTAATGACCATGCAAGGTGAATGAAAAAAAATCAAAACAGTAATGAAATAATGGGTAACGTTTATCGAGAACTTATCAGGAAGAAGGCAAATCACTTTACATCTATTATCTCAATCAGCCCTCACACTATTCTTTAAAGTTTACCTAATTATTATCTCTACAGGTTGGGAAATTGTGACACAGATATATTAAGCAGTGTAAGTTACATAGCAGTAAATTGTTAAACCATATTCCCATCCATCAGTTCACCTCCAAAGCTGTATTCTTAAACAAAACACTAAACTGCCTCTACTAAGTAAGCTCTTATATCTTTATCAGTGTTAAAGAAAAAAATCTTAAAACCTGCCAGATAGAAAAGACATACTACCTATAAAGGATGAGAATTAGAATGACATTAAACTCAGCAGTGTGGACTTGAGAAAACTGGAACAATGCTATCAAAGTGTAAAGGGAAAAAAAATTTAAAATTCGAATTCTTTAACTCATGAAATTAACATTCAGAAGTAAGAATGGAGTAAAGAATATGTAGAATGGTGGTAGATATAAAGAAAGATTACTGGTAGGCGCTTGGCTGCTAACTGAAAGTTCGAGTTTTGAGTCCACCCAGCAGTGCCTCAAAAGAAAGGCTTGGCAATCTACTTCCAAAACATCAGCCATTGAAAACCCTATAGAGTATAGTTCTACTCTGACACAGTTGAGGTTAACTCAATGGTAACTGGTTTCTGGTTAGACGGTATAACATGAGTCAAAATATATAGACCAGAATAGGCAGAGTGTGTTTGGTATATTGCAGGTAATCAAATTTAACTGCTTCATGGGAGTGTGTGTGTGTGTGTGTGTGTGTGTGTGTGTGTGTGTGTGTGTGTGTGTGTGTGTTCATCTTAGGGTAGATAAATCCTAGGCAATGAGACTAAAAAGATACACTGGAGCAATATCCTAGGAGACTTTAAGTACTAAATTGAGACATTTTTATTTTGTTATATACTGTTAGTACCCAACTTATGACAGGGTTCTGTTCCAACTACTCCCTTGTAAGTTGGTTCTGATATGTCAAATACCTTTTCTTTTTTTAGTTTTCATTATTATTGCCTTTTATTATCAGTATCTTTATAAATCTGATCTGTGAACATCTGCGAGTGAACATCTGAGAATGATAACATCAGCAAATTACGGACTGAAACATTGTACATAGTACATACTGCTAACAACCAGATGTACCAAAAAAAGAAAAAACTGACAGCCTTAAGTGTGGTTCATTGTAACTCAAATACATCGTAAGCATGGACTACCTGTACAAAGTTTGGGAAACCACTGAAAATATTTTAACTGGATATTAATGAAATCACACCTCCATTTTTGGAATATTAATATGTTAGTAATGTAAAAGGTTGAGAAGACAGGATGGCAACCTTTTTTTAAAATGATCTTTCCATCTATAGTTCTTATTTCATTAATCGTTAAGAAAGTTCTTTCCTCTCTATTTTAAAACAATTTCAGAGAGTCTCTCTATCTACATAAAGACTGGACTGTCTTCTTAATCTTTCTCCTTCTAAATATTTAAAGGGTTGTGTAAATTTATGGTGGTGCAGTGGTTAAGAGCTTGACTGCTAACCGAAAGTATGACAATTCGAATCCACCAGCCGCTCCTTGGAAACCCTATAATATTATAATAATAGGCATCATATATGCAGTATTTTCTGTGTGCCAAAAGTGTTAAGCATTTTTTCTGTGTTACATAAATGTATGTTCTTCTTGTTGTTAGGTGGTGTTGAGTTGGTTCCAACTCATAACAACCTTGTGTATAACAGAACAAAACACCGCCTGGTCCTGCGCCATCCTCACAATCATTGCTATGTTTGAGCCCATAGTTGCAGCCACTGTGTCAGTCTATCTCATTAAGGGTCGTCCTCTTTTTCTCTGATCCTCTACTTTACCAAGCATGATGTCCTTTTCAGGGTTCAGTCCCTCCTGATAGCATGTCCAAAGCCGTCCTTGCTTCTAAGGAGCGTTCTGGCTGTACTTCTTCCAAGACAGATTTGTTCATTCTTCTGGCAGTCCACGGTATACTCAATATTCTTCGCCAACACCATAATTCAAATGGTTCAATTCTTTGGGCTTCCTTTTTCATCATCTAGTTTTTGCATGCATATGAGGCGACTGAAAATAGTGTGGCTTGGGTCAGGTACACTTTAATCCTCAAAGTGACATTTATGCTTTTTAACATTTTAAAGAGGCCTTTTGCAGCAGCTACTTCCATGGGCATTGATTGTGGATTCAAGTAAAATGAAATCCTTGATGTCGATCTTTTCTCTTTTTATCACAATGTTGCTTATTAGTTCAGTTTTAAGGATTTTTGTTTTCTTTATGTTGAGGTGTAATCCGTACTAAAGGCTGTAGTCTTTAATCTTTGTCTGTAAGTGGTCCAAGTCTTCTTGGCTTTTAGCAAGCAAGGTTGTGTCATCTGCATATTGCAGGTTGTTAATAAGTCTTCTTCCAATCTTAATGCCCCTTTCCTCTTCATATAGTTATGATTATTTGCTCAGCAGCATACAGATTGAATGAGTATAGTGAAAGGATACAATCCTGATGCACACCTTTCCTGATTTTAAAACACACAGTATCCCCTTGTTCTGTTGAAATGACTCCCTCTTGACCTATATACAGGTTCTGGATGAGCACAATTAAGTGTTCTGGAATTCCCATTCTTCGCAATGTAATCCACAATTTGTTATGATCCACACAGTCGAATGCCTTTGCGTAGTCAATAAAACACAGGGAAACATCTTTCCGGTGTTCTCTGCTTTTAGTCAAGATCCATCTGACATCATCAGCAATGTCAAAGCCCTGACATTGCTTTGTTCCATACCCTCTTCTGAATCCATCTTGAATTTCTAGTAGTTCCCTGTCAATGTAGTGCTGCAACCATTTTTGAATTGTCTTCAGCAAACTTTTACTTACGTGTGATATTAATGATATTGTTCAATAATTTCTGCATTCCGTTAGATCAGCTTTCTTTGGAGTGGGCACAAATGTGGATCTCTTCCAGTCAGTTGGCCAGGTAGCTGTCTTCCAGATTTCTTGGCATACATGAGTGAGCATTTCCAGCATTGCATCCATTTGTTGAAACATCTCAGTTGGTATTCTGTCAGTTCCTGGAGGCATTTCTCGCAAATGACTTAGTGCAGCTTGGACTTCTGCTTTCAGTACCATCAGTTCTTGATTATATGCTACCTCCTGAAGTGGTTGTACGTCGACCAATTCTTTTTGGTACAGTGACTCTGTGCATTCCTTCCATATTATTTTGATGCTGCCTGTATTGTTCAATATTTTGCTCATAGAATCCTTCGATATTGCAATGCAAGGTTTGGGTTTTTTCTTCAGTTCCTTCAGCTTGAGAAATGCCGAACATGTCTTCCCTTTTGGTTTTCTAACTGCAGGTCTTTGCACATTTCATTATAATACTTCACTTTGTCTTCTCAGCCGCCTTTTGAAATCTTCTGTTTGATTCTTGTTACTTCATCATTTTTTCCGTTTGCTCTAGCCACTTTACATTCAAGAGCAAGTTTCAGAGTCTCTTCTGACATCCATTTTAGTCTTTTATTTCCTCTCTTTTTGATGACCTTTTGCTTTCTTCATGTTTGATGTCCTTGATGTTATCACAATTTGTGTGGCCTTCCTCAGTCATATTTTCAGTGTCTTCCAACCTGAGAGGCTTATCTTCCGGAACTATTATCAGACAATGATCCTCTGCTATTCAAAATGTTTTCGCTGGCCAATTTTTTTAGTAGATTGCCAGGCCCTTCTTCATAGTTTGTCTTAGTTTGGAAGTTCTTCTGAAATCTGTCCAGAATAGGTCACCTTGCTAGTATTTGAAATACTGGTGGCTTAGCTTCCAGCATCACTACAACACACAAGCCCACCACAGTATGACAAACTGACAGACAAGTGGGGGATAAAAATGTATATACTTATATTATTTACGTACATACTGTTAATATTCCAGTTTACAGATAAGAAAAGTGAGGCTTAAGGTGGTTAAGTAGTTTGCCCAAGTTCTATAACTGTTCAATGATGAAAGAGTCAAAATTCACACAATAATTGCTCAACACATATTTGTAGAAGGTGTAAGTGTTTAACTCCAGATTCCATGCCAAGGAGTCTCCTGGGAAGCAAATGAACTATGTGTCTTAAAGCAAAGAAATATGCCATGTGCTATTGGAGTACAATGGATGTCTGTGTAACTCATTGTAGAAGGAGGAAGAAGTGTTATGAAGGTTCCTCAGTGGAGATAACAGACTACCTAAATCATGATATATATTTAAGAATTTGTTGGGAAGATTAAATGCTAATATGAGTCTTTATCAGGGTATCTCTTGGTCTCATAATCAAGTAAAACTCCTAGTGACTTAGAATCTCATCTCCTAGACATCCAGATATTTGAGTCTGAAAAGTGAACAATGCTTGAGATCAAGCTAGAACTTGACAATCTTTAGATATATAAAATATTTGACTATTAAATATTATAAAATATTTGTTTAATGTTGTCATTTTACCAATAATTTTTTCATTAGTGAAACCCACCCCCACCCCCAGCCCGGGGCGGGTAACCATTGTCATCAAGTTAATTCCAACTCATAGCAACCCTATAGGGCAGAGTAGAACTGCCCTATAGAGTTTCCAAGGAGCGCCTGGTAGAGTCAAACTGCCGACCTTTTGATTAGCAGCCATAGCTCTTAACCACTACGCCACCAGGGTTTCCTTCATTAGTGAAGCTGACTTTACAAATTGAGTAAAAACCTCTGAAGGAATTGTTTTCAGCTATGAAAAATTTTAAAAAGACTTCACTGGGAGAAAAAAAAAAAGATTAAAATGTTAAGAATTTATTTTCTATTTTATGTAGGGGAGAAAATTATTTCAGAGCTTGGATATTTCTGAAAGATTGAAATTTTTGCTTACCTTGGGTAAGTGTAGTGAAATTTATATATTATCATATTATCTTTCAACTATAAATATAAATTTTAGTATCTGTTAATAATCATGCACAGTAAGGATATGTTCTGAAATAGTGAATACCCTGAAATATCTTTACTTTCTAAAGATCAGTGGTAAGTAAGCATTAGCAGGACAGCCTGCTGAAGTATTATAGTACACCTTTATTTATTCTGTAAGGAATTTTAAACTAGATGGAAATAATCTTGACTTCATGATTTAGCCAAATTGTGAAATCAAATACAAGAAAATAAAATTATTCTTCCGTGTAGTAGTTTACCTTCAGAATATGCATGTTAACTTATGGGCTGTCTTTCTATTTGATGAATTATGTATGAATAAGGACTCAGGAATAATAATTTTTCTTCATGAGAAGCTCATATCATTTTGCATGTAAATTAGATCTAAGCACTTATTATTCAATTTAATAAAAATTTGTATAGGCTACTTTAGAGTAAAATACATTAAGCATGTGTGTTAATAAAGGGGAAAGAACACAAATAGAGCTTTTATATAAAAAAGTAACAGATTGGTATCCAGGTTAAGAAGATTTACAAATAATAATATATACAGAATAGTAATAATAAATATTAAATAATATTCAATTATAAATAAACTTTTATCATATTTACCACATTTGATTTTAAGGATTGATAATATAGCTATTAGGGAGTCTTGGAGATTAATATAAACTAATCTTATACTTTAAATCCCCAGGCAAATTCTCCAGATTATATATAGTAAAAATAAATTAGTCTTGTAATCATGAAAAAGCCTTTTACAGAATAAAATACACATAGAAAAAGAGAAACTTTACCTTCCTTGAATCACTGTTTTATCTCACTATTTAAGCTACTATCTTTCAGAATCTCTTATTCAATTAATATTTAGTGTTTGAGGTCTTTATTTTTATTGAACTACTACAGTAGAAAGTTAACAAAGTTAGAAGCTTTTAATATTCCAATTTGCATTACACCATTTAAAAAAATCGATCAGTGTTCAGTTCCAAGCTAGTCTGATAGATTAGAAAAGAAACATTAATTTATGTAGTTTTTCTTTTTTATAGACTGCGTAGATGATACTGTGATAGTTCTGGCTGAAGAGCATGGTTGTCTGGACATTATAAAGGTTTGTCATTAATCTGTTAATGAAAGTTTTGTATACTTGGGATCTAGTAGCAAGCTATTTTAAAGCTTTCTTATTTCTGCTTAGGTATTTGCTTTTTCACAAAGAAACTAATATAAATATTAAGCCCGAATACTTTTTAAAAAAATCAAAACTTCCTAGAGTAGAAGAGAGTTGTGTAAAATGTATATTAAAAATGGATTATTTTGAATAATTCCTTTCTCTTTTTATTTATCAGGAACTCCCTGAAAATGTGATAAATCTTTTGAAGAAGTGCCTCACCTTCCACCCTTCTAAAAGGTTGATACTATGAAGAGTTTGTAATTACAGTGAGATCCTTATCACATAAGTAGTAGATTTTTTTTGTATTTGTTATAATATTAATGGTTAAATAAAATTTATATATATGTAGTAGCACATAATTGACATCAGTATCACAACTGTTAGTTGTGATTTTGAAGTTTTTATTTTATGTTAATAACAAAAGAAAAGATAATTAAAGTTAAACCATGGTCAAAAATTGGCACATACCAAAAAGAAGTTACCATATTTTTATGCAGTATTACATGCACATTATACATTTTTTTGCCAACTGTGCAACCCCCTCACACATTATTTTCCTAGACACTCTATGTGCGTTATATGTGTGGGCATGTTATTTGTGAAAAATACAGTAATAGTTTCTTTTTTTCCCAGCCTATAAATATAAAATCAATTAAATTGTGGAATGTAGATATTCCTAAATACAAAAGATAATGTGAGAGAAATGGGAACAATAGTGAGATAAGCTAACAATTATTGATAATAAAAAAGGATTTCTTAGAAGTCTTATTAATTTACTTTCATTTGACGATGTCACTGTTGATCATACAAGTGTCCAGAAACTTCTTAGGCATATAATGTTTGAAATTAGTACATTCAAGTATACATTTAGACTTCTCTAAGGAAATCTTTATTATTTTCTATGCTAATGCGGTATTTAATACATTTAAGTGTCTCCTTGAATGTATGCCATTATTCTAGGAAACTTTTAATGACTTTCATTTGTGCTGTTTATTTTAAATGTGTTTCTCAAGGCCAACCGCAGGTGAATTAATGCAGGACAAGCTGTTCAGTGAAGTGTCACCTTTATATACTCCCTTTATGAAACCTGCTAGTCTGTTTTCATCTTCTCTAAGATGTGCTGATTTAACTCTACCTGAGGATATCAGTCAGCTGTGTAAAGGTAATGATAAATAGAAAATAGGCAATAATGTGAACACTGTTTTTAAAAGAAGTACGCTTCTTCTACTTTAAGTTTTGAATTTATCAAGAGACAATTCTGAAAGTGCTTACAATATAACTGAACTAACTTATTAATCCTTTAAATTGCTTTGGAGCAAGAACTTTAAAAATAAGTGTAAGGCAGTGGCACAAAAAGAAAAGAAGTTTGTTTATAAGAACCAGAGTCCTATTTTCATGTCAAATCTTGGTGATAAAAATAAGGAATTCTAATTCCCAGTAGAATTTCCATTATACTTTATTTCTTCATCAACATTTATATATGATATTCCAGATAATTTATTATAAATGAAGTCTAAAAATCATATTAGTCATTGGAAACCTCATCCATTATACTCTACATGTTTAAGAAAATATCAGCTTTTTGGTATGTGAAGATTACAACTCTCAGAATGTGTGTGTGTGTCTGTGTGTGTGTGTGTGTTAGTGACACCAGTAAATTACTTATACTGAAAAGTTTTCATGACAAGTCATGACAAAGAATATTTACTAAACATTCATTCAATTAAATATTTTTGAGCACCTACTATGAGCTGTACCCTGTATCTTCAAGTAGCATTTATGCCAAATGAGGAGGCAGACAGTCATTCAGTCACTATTATGAATAGAGGTCAATACTTTTAGTAGGATATTATTTGCAGCCAGAAGCATTCAAATCCTCATAAAAGATGAATCAGAATCTGTTAGTCATGACTTTTTCTTTGACTTCTGTAAGCACTTATGCATGTAGGCAGTAGCAAGCTGGTAAAAAATAAATTACTGGCTGTCTGGGAATGAAGCCCTTATTGAGGCACTTGCTAATATCTGTGGTGTAACTATTCCCACCGTGGTTAATTTTAAACTACCAACATGAACTCACTGAATGCAGAATTGAGAAGAGATGCACGCATACCATGATATAGATTTTCCCCATACAGATAAAATAGACATAATCTCAAGAGCATAGATAATGGTAAATTGTGGTAAAATAATTATTAATTGATGAGTTTTTAATACTTATTACCTTTATTTTAAAATATAATTTATATAATTACAAGTTCATATAATTTAATTTTTAATAATAACTGTGTTTAACAGCTGGCTTGAAAAATTCCTGAAATTTTTACAATGGCCCTTATGGTCGGTGCCACCTCGAGCACTCCACTGCATGTAGGTCATCATTCACTTCAAACAGGTAACAAGATCAGCTGGAGAGAATACATGTAATTAGGTTTTTGACTAAGCCTTCCCTTGTTTAATTATTGAAATTGATCTCTGCTTATAGTCATTATTACCTACTAATAAGAGATAAAGTGTTTGAATTTTAAAAGTATAAGTGAATTATAGTCTTTCTTAGTCAAAGTTCTTAGTCTAGGATTCGTTTATTCAGAATGGCTTCAGTCAAAAGTGGTGCTTTAAGGAATGCTTAATGAAACCAAACCAAACTGATTGCCGTCGAGTCAATTCCAACTTATAGTGACCCTACAGGACAGAGTAGAATGAAACCACCAAGTATTCACTGAATTTCTATTTTGTATGCCTGGGGAATACCAAAGAAACTACCCCTGCTCTGAAGACATTTAGGAAATGTGTTAAGTACTTAGTGAACAAGCTAAAAGAGTATAAGTAGTTTTGGCTGGGTTGCATATCCTAAGCCAGTCATTTAGTGCTGTCTAATTAATGCTCTCATTTATCCAAGCAGAGTATCCAAAATTTATGCATAACATTTTTGGAAACTCATAATGCTGCTTTATGTCAGCCTACATAATTCTATTTGAAATATTTTGAAACTTAAGCTTAAAGAAGTTGCTTTCATCCTTTTCAATAAAATATTAATTGCTTTGGGTGACTCAGCAATGCGTCGTTACTAGAACTATATGATGTTTTAAGTCAACCTTAAAGTTAAAAGAAAACACCTGTTTACCTCCTTTTCTACTAATATAATCAACTATATCTCAAAAAAAAGTAAAGAAAAATTATTTAGTGTAAAACTAAATATGTGTCTGTATCACTATAATATTGTATGTTGTTGTTGTTAGCTATTGTCAAGTCGGCCACCAACTCATGGTGACCCCGTGCACAACAGAACAAAATTCTGCCCCATCCTGCGCCATCCCCATGATTGGTTGCCCATCAGATCGTTTGTGATCTGTAGGGTTTTCAGTGGCTGGTTTTTGGAAGTAGATTTCCAGGCCCTTCTTCCTAGTGTCTTAGTCTAGAAGCTCTGCTGGGCCTTGTTTAGCATCATGACAACACACAAGCCTCCAGTGACAGATGGGTGGTAGCTGTGCATGAAGTGCATTGGCTGGAAATCCAACCTGGGTCTCCTGCATGGAAGGAGAGAGAATTTTATCAATGAACCACCACTGTATCTAGAATATTATATATCAAGTTTTAAATGGGGGTTGTTTTTATGTGTGGTACCCTGTAAGTACGTTTTTGCTCATTATGTAAACAAAGTATATAATATTTTTATTTATTTCATTTTTTTGAGGAACACATAATTTTTTTATTTTCCAGGTTCTCAGCACTTAACAAATAATAACTTATTATTTTTGTCACCCATTTCATAGAATTCAAAACTGAAATTTTAGAAAGGAATCATGGCAAGTCCAAAATCACTTATCTGCAATTCAGAAGAACAAAAAGTTTAGAAATCAAAAGTTGTTTTTGTTTCATTTTTCCCTAGAGTTTGAACATAAAACCTAGTAAAAGTTATTTGAATTTAACTGACATCAACTGCTGGGATCATGATTTTTTTCCCCTCTGTTCTAATACAGTAAATGCATGTTAAACCCAATGGAAACCATATAGTTCTTCCATATGTATTAATAGTTTTGCATTTTTATATAAAGAAATATCTTATTCCTCTTTATCTCAAAGAAAGTGAATATATATTCAGTATATATCTGCATCTGACTTTCTGTTCAATTTATAGTGTGAATAGTCTAAAGGGAACCCTGCTATGTTCTTCAATTTTTCTTTTTTTGTTTTCTATTGTTACCTATTGATTTTTAATTAAAAACAGAAAGTGTGATAACTATGATTCTTTTTAATTTGCTATTAATAGATATCAACAGTGATTATCTGGCGGAAAGATCTATTGAAGAAGTATATTACCTTTGGTGTTTGGCTGGAGGTGACTTGGAGAAAGAGCTTGTCAACAAGGAAATCATTCGATCCAAACCACCTATCTGTACACTCCCCAAGTAAGAAAAGAAAAATTATCTTGGAAATGAAAAAAGAATTTGATAATAGTGTTTAAAAAAGTAAACTTTGACTTTTTTTGTGTAGACATTCTAACTAAGTGATTATGGAAGCAACTGGAAGTCAGCTCCGTGTGTACTTGGTCAGAATTTCTAATTACAGAGTCCTCTTATAATTTTTTAAATTACTTTTTATTAAATAGTTTGCTTAATGTTCTATTTAAACTGAAGTTATTATTATGGGGCATCTTGCAATAATTGTGTAACAGACAAGAAGTGTACAAGTCAGATAAAACAGTAATATTTGAGAGACTTAACAAACTAGTGTTCCTAATATAAAGAACTATTTCCTATTTTTAAATATATATGTAAATGTAAATGGACTATGTGGCCTCATTGCATGTTGTAGAGATCACTACTGTGCTAAGTCACTATTGAGAAGAAATCTGCAGAACTACAGAAGAGAATATCATACTACAAATTAAATTGGAAGTTGAATAGCTGTACAGCCCCAAGGGCCAAAGTTAATAATATACCATTGCTACTTATTTTTATTCATAAAGATATGAACCTGAATTTCTTGAGCTTTCACCAATGCTTTAAATTTTAGTTTCAGATTTTCAGACTTACATTTGATCATTGTAGGTAGCTATAGAATCATCTGTTCATAATTTTTTTTTCTTTACATGTTAAATTTTTAGATTTGAAGTAAGATGATGAAATTTCTAAGAGGAAATTGTTTGAAAGATATATAGATTCTCAAAAGTAATTATCTGAAATTTTAAATAAATTTCATGTATTTATTATTCAGTGTTCTTTTTCCTGAGAAGTTACCATCTGTTATGTTTTCTCTTTCTTCTTCCCTTTATCATTTTTCACCCATATAAACTTTCTCAGCAGCACATTTCAAAAGTCAGTAATTTTAGCATTGAACCTCCATGAGCAAAAAATAGTAGATTAGACTTTTTTATTCATAATATACTGTATTCATATCAAGTCAGGACACATCTAGAAATGAGACTTGTTTGGAGAGATCTCAAGCAGCAGTTACATTTTTTATTACCATTCAGTCTGAAAATTATTTTTTTCTTTGATTAAGGGATTGATGCCAGAATCAGTTTTATTTTCTAGAAGAAACATTAAAAATAGATTTTGTGTGGTCATTAAAATAATTATTTTTCATCTCTTTTTAGTTTCCTCTTTGAAGATGGTGAGACCTTTGGGCAAGGTCGAGATAGAAGCTCACTTTTAGATGATACTACTGTGACATTGTCATTATGCCAGCTAAGAAATGTAAGAATGGTATTTTGCCAAATCTGTTTCAGATATATTTTCTTTTTATTAAAACTTCACAGATGTTGATGAAGCCTTGTATCCTACCTATCATATAACATATGTGAGACTTTCTTTGATATATATACCCAGTGGGATTGCTGGAAAATAGCATCTGCACATCTTCAGCTTTAGTAGATATTTTCTGATTGTTCACTAAAGTGATTTTTATCGGTTTATCTTTTCACCATCCTTGGATAACGGTCCTCATTTCTCCACATACTTAGTAACACTTTGGCATTATTAAAAAAAAAAAAAGAAGTTGATATGGAATGGTATTTCACTATAATGCTGATTTTTAATTCCCTCATTATAGTGCATTTGTGAGCCTTTTCACATTTTTTGGCCATTTGCTTAACTCTTCTATAAATTGCTAGTTTATGTTTTACTAATTTTTCCATTGAATATATTCCAGATATTGAGCCATTGTTGGCTTTATATGATGATAATTGGCTCCCAAACATTTTCTCCCAGTCTGTAGGTTGTCTTTTTATTTTTTTGATATTTCTGGACCCTCAATTCTATTCCACTAATGTAGATATGTATCTCATTGATATAGATATCTATACCATTGATACAGATACCTATAAAATAGTACCAGGCTGTTTTAATTATTGTAGTTTTACAATATGTTTTAAAATCAGGAGGTGCGAGTCTTCCTACTTTATTCTTTTTCTTGAAGATTTGTTTAGCTAGTTAGGGTCCCTTGTCCTTCCATATAAATTTGAGAATTGGCTTTTCCATTTAAGCAAAGAAGGCTATTGGAACTTTGATGAGGATTGCATTGAATTTATAGATTGCTTTGGGTAGCATTGACATCTTTACTCTGTTAAGCCTTCCAATCCATAAACACGGAATGTCTTTCCAGTTATTTAGGTCTTCTTTGATTTCTTTTATTAATGTTTAATAGTTTTCTATGTACAAGTCTTTCACCTTCCTGATTAAATTTGTTCGTATGTACTTTATTTTTTTTTTGATGCTATTGTAAATGATAATATTTCCTTAATTTCCTTTTCTATTTGCTCTTTACTGATATACAGGAAACCTGACTGATTTTTGTGTGTTGACCTTGTACCCTGCCTCTTTGCTGAATTTATTTATTATTTATAATAGCTTTCTTGTGTAATCTTTGGGTTTTCTGTGCATAGGAACATGTCATCTGTGCAAACGGATAGTTTTACTTCTTTGTTCCCTATTGGGATACGTTTTATTTGTTTTTTTTCTAGCCTAAGTGCTTTGGATAGGACTTCCAGTACAACGTTGAATAGCAGTGGTGAGAGTACAGTCCTGTCTTATTTCTGATCTTAATGAGCTCTCTTTCTTCATTGAGCATGGTGTTACCTAAGGGTTTTTCATAGGTACTCTTTATTATACTGAGTAATTTCCCTTCTATTCCTATCTTGTTAAATGTTTTTATCATGAAAGAGCATTGAATTTTATCCAGTGCCTTTTCTGCATCAATTGAGATGATTATATATGGTTCTTTTCCTTTGTTCTATTAATGTGGTATAATACGTTGATTGATTTTCTAGTGTGGAACCACCCTTGCATTTGTTGAATAAAACCCACTTGATTATGTTGTGTAATCCTTAAATTGTTTTTAGATTTGGTTAGCTAGTATTTTTGTGAGGATTTTTACATTTATATTCATAAGGGATACTGGTCTGTAGTTTTCTTGTGGTATGTTTGTCTGGCTTTGGCATCCAGTCTTAAGTGTTATTTCCCTGTTTCTTGTTCATGGTGACTTGTTTCCTTTCGTGTTTTGTAGTTTTTGTTTGTTTCTCTTAATTTCATATTTTTATAACTCAGAATTTTTTCAGGCCTGGGTTTAGGATACATTCTGTCAAGTACCTGTTTCCACTAACTATGGGGACAATGCAAATGGTGTAAATTCAGGCCCCAAACCCATGTTAGGGCCAGGAGTGACCACAAGCTTCTCAGACAGCCTTTTTATTTTAACAATCCATATAGAAGGCTAAAATAGGTAATTTCTCTTGTTGTCAAGCTCTGGGCTAGGGCAGCCCCTTGCCCTGCCCAAGTTCTTTATCTGGCCTTAGCAGGGTCTTCCCCGGTCTGGATGCCTAACACATACAGGCCGAAGGCTTTGTCTCACTATGCTCTAAAGCTCTAGGGTACAGTTATTAGTATATTTTAGTGCTAGCTCCTCTCCTTTCTCTCAAGGCCCAGATTTGTTTCTGATATCACTGAATTTACCTTAATTTTTTTTTTTTTTTTGGCTTACCCAATCGTTTAATATTTTATATATTACATAATAGGAGGTTATTAGAACCTCTTGTCTGCTGTAATGCCTGGAACAGAAAATTAAAATATATAATTATTACTACTCAATACAGTGAACTTACATTCCCTTTGAAAAGAAATATGGTATACAGTAGACAAAATAAATCGCAATACAAGGCAGAAAACAATAAGCTGCATCTGAAATATATGGTTTCAACTGATTTGGTTTTACTCTTAATCTTTATTTGTTTATTTTAATTTAAATGAAATCCAAGTTCCTAAGCTAGGCTTCAATTCTACTGCCTTAATTCCCTCACAACAAATTTTGATATGTAAATACTTTTTTTCCTGTAATTATTAAGAAAAAATGTTATTGTTTTCATTTTTTAAACAATATGTTGTTGTTGTGTGCCGTCGAGTCAATTTCACCTCATAGCAACACTGTAGGACAGAGTAGAACTGCCTCTCAGGGACCCTAGGCAGCTCACCAGGTCTTTTCTCCTATATGGCAGCTGGTGAGTTTCAATCACTGACCTTTTGGTTAGCAGCCCAGGGCTTAACCATTGTGCGTCCATGGCTCCTTTAAATAATATAGGAGCCAAATAATAATTTTTCCCTTATAATTTTCTGTGTAAGTATTTCTAACCTTATATTTAGCATTAGTATTCTCAAGTTTTAATTTAAAAAAACAGAAAAGATACCTACAATAATTATGACATTCAGGACAGTAAAACCTAAACTCTTAAAAAATGTACATATTAATAATTCAGTAAAACTTGAGAAAATCTTCTCTACTTAAAATTTTAGTTTATGAAATAAATACACAAAGGTTTAAAGGCAAAGTAGAATTTTTAGAAAAAAATCAGGCATAAACCCAGTGTTTGCCAGATTCTCAGTGTTGGGTAAAAGATTTTTCTTTGGCTTTTAAAATTCCGGGAACAACTCACATGGATGAGTGCGCAGTGACTATAATCAAGAGAGGATCAGTGCAGGCTACACAGAGTGCTTGAACCTCTGTCAGCCCCCACAGGAGCAGATACTCTGCCTTCAAGTTGGAAGTTGACCTGAAGAGCAGAGCACTGCAGGCAAGATGGCATTAATGTTAATCACCCCACTTAGGATGTGTCTAAGATTTTATTCTACTACTGCCTGCCCTCTTAAGTTTTAGAAGAATACCTACAAATCTGGCTGTAGTCAATGTTATTATTTGGAGCAACAGTCATTATGACTTTGTTGGGAAAATAATTAAGAGAGCTGAATTTTGTTAGTAGATTTGTCAGCTATTTGAATCATAAATATTCAAACTATGCATGTGAGAAATTCTTCTGAATTCTTCTTACTGTCACCTTACTTTCATCTTAGTTTGTATTAATGTCAAAGCAAATATAAATCTGACTTGGATTTTAAATTAAGGCATATGTATAAAAAGAGTACCTTTTTACTTATAATTTTCCTTTGTGTAACTTAAACATATTTTATTCATTTATTTAATTTTATAATAACGTTAGTATTTCTGAACTCTGTTAGGAAAAATTTCATGATAGGTTTATAAAATTTTGGGAGACAGTGGAGGAGGGAAAAACAAAAAGCTAAGCTCTTCTTTATAGCTGAACCTTACTCAGTAGAGACATGGTATACTTCTCCATTTAAGACAGCTAATTTAGATTCTATTTTATACTGTTCTCAGTACCTTTGTTAATTCATCATTTTTACATTATTTTGTCTTTTAAATACAGTTTAGTGTTGCTGCCTCAGATACTCAGGCATAAATATTTTCTCTTTAAATTCACAGAGATTAAAAGATGTTGGTGGAGAAGCGTTCTACCCGTTACTTGAAGATGAGTGAGTATACACAGTTTCCAGTTTCCTTTTACACTTGTATTTCTTTTCAGTTTATATTAGATTGGTAAGAAATCTGTACATGTTCTTTGAAGAGTGTTTCCTCCGTAGGGCACAAAAACCTAGTTTTAGATACTGTTTTGGTTTTGTTAAAATTTTGTACTTTGTGTCAATTCTTCTGCTTTTGTTTCTCTTTTACAGCCAGTCTAATTTACCTCATTCAAACAGCAATAATGAATTATCTGCAGCTGCCACTCTCCCCTTAATCATTCGAGAGAGGGACACAGAGTACCAACTCAACAGAATTATTCTCTTTGACAGGCTTCTAAAGGTAGAGATTCTGCAAAAGTGTTACCATAGCCCATGTACAATCCTTTTTTTTTTTTTTTAATTTCATCGTTAATTCTTAGGGCATCGTGATGTCATGAGAACACTATTTCTAATGACCTATTTTTATTGATTAACCTTAATTATAAAAATGATACATGCTAATATAAATAAAATTTAAAAATAGAAATAAGGTGTGGGAATATAAAATTTACAAAATCATGACAGAGAAAGAACATTTAAAAATCAGTAAGACAAAGCACTAACACTGAAACGGAGAAATGGGGAAAGAACATAATAGAAATACAGTTAGTCAGAAAATCGGTTAAAAATGTCATCCTCCCTAGGAATGGAAAAAACAAACAAAAAGAAACCAGGATTTTTTTTGCATGCCAATAAGAAAATTGCACAAACATACAATGAGATTGAAACTTTCATTCTGCTGGAATAAGTGTAAATTGATTGAAACAATCTGTGTAGCAATTTAAAAGTATATATTAAGAGCCTTAACAGCACCCATACCCTTCGTCCTGATAGTGCTCTCCTAGAAATCTCTCCTAAAGGAGTTAATCACAGCATGGAGAAATGTATATGCAAGGCTATATTATTGTTCTTAGGTGCAGCGGAGTCAATTTTGACTCGGCGACCCCATGTGAGAGTACAGCTGCCCCATAGGATTCTCTAGGCTGTAACCTTTATGGGAGCAGACCATCAGGTCTTTCTCCCATGGAGCCATTGAGTGGCTTTGAACTGCCCGCCTTTCCGTTAGTAGCCAGGCACTTTACCATTGTGCCACTAGGGCTCCCTCACCTCCATATGACTCATTCATAATTCTCCCCAAGTACAAAATAGAGGGGAGTGATGAAAAAGAAGTAGAATCAGCTCCTATCTTTGATTGTAGTATACAAGATATTCAGGGGGATAGGGAACCATTCTACTACTTATTTATATGTATTAGTAACACCAGACACAGTAATTTCAGATACTTAGAAATTTATTACAGGTGACCTTCAACTTTATGTATGCTCAGAACTGTCTAGACTGAAAGATGACACTTGGTAATGGGGTATTTTGTCATTTCTTTTTTCATACTATAGGCTTATCCATATAAAAAAAATCAAATCTGGAAAGAAGCAAGAGTTGACATTCCTCCTCTTATGAGAGGTTTAACCTGGGCTGCTCTTCTAGGAGTTGAGGTAAGAAAGAAAATAGAAAGTGAGGCAGTTGATTGAAGCTGATCATTAGTGCTAAGAAAGTATGAAGATGGATAGTGCTTTCCTAATGCTTATTTTTTCAAGTTGTTAAAAAACTACATAGTAAAATATGAACATTAAGAATATTTACAATTTTAAGTAAAAGGAATAGAAGAATAGAGTAGGGTGGGATAGGATGGATGAGAACAGATGGAATGGAATGGAATAGAATAGAATAGAAAAATATAAAGGAAGATTTGTTAGATTTATGCTGTTTAATATCTCACTAATGGCACTCACAAAAATATCTTGGTTATTAATTTTAAAATCAGAGACTATTTTAAGAATGTATATCAGTTACAATTATATAGTCCTGCCTATAAATTATTCTTATTTAGGAATAGAAGTGCCTGTTTATAAGTTGTTCTAAGTTCGGAGGAATCTTCCACTCCAATTTCTGTCTTGTCAAAATCACTAACATAATTTAGTATGCACATCTGCTTTTGGCACACTTCTACCACCTGGACCATGCTGCCAACAGAAATAGCCATTTGTGTTCTATAGCACTGTGGCAGTAGGGGAAGGAGAGGTGTCAGAATTATTGAGAGTGGCTTTCAGTACTGACAGGGAACTCTGGTGACAGTAGTCATGATAATGGGCCAATTCCTTGCCAGACGTTTTCATTTCCTGTGAAATTTTTTTTTTTTTTTTTGTCGTCTTGCCTTCCTCTATTCTTTTACATGTATCTTATAGATACGTATCACCCATTTTTTTTCTGAATCCCCTAAACTATTTTTAACACTTTTCAGCCCTCTATTGGAAGAATTTCCTTTCTTCATTTCTGATTCTCTTGATGACAGTCTACGAATATCTTTGAGTTTGATTGGTCACTTAATAAGAATGGCTATTATTGTAGAACCATATGCTAAAATTCAAGAGGACTTCTGAGGTCAGGTTGTCCAGATCTCTAATAGATGTCCTGGAGAAGGTGATACAGCTATTTAATGTCAGAATTTATACTTCAAATCCCTGGCTTTTTCTGTACCATGACAGTAAACTAAAGGTAATAAGAAGTATTTCATGATTTGGTCCAGTAGAATATGAACAAAATTTGCTGTGGTTTAAAGTGGTATATCCCTTCTGTAACAGTGTAACTGAAAAATGTAAATGACTCCTTTAGTCCCTTAATGATTCTGTAACTGCCTGTTATTCCAGTTCTTAATTTATCCTAAGATTCTCTTTCCTGGTGCTGAAATACCATCTCTTTAAAGAGTTGCATTTTATTTTCACTTTCATTACAAACTTTAATAGTAAAATTTCTTGTGGGATAACACCCCTCTCAAAAAATAAGAACAATATTTTATTTCTTTATGACAGTCACTATGTGTGAGATAACAATGAATAGAGAACCACAAGGCTGTGTTATGTTGTGGAGGGATGGGGGACCGACTAAACATATGCATAAGCTAAGTGACTCATTCCAGCACATTTTGCCTTCTGGTGTATATAAGTCAAATGCCTACCTCAGCTGAATGGCAAATTGTCACATATCACAGACCTTCATTGTAGATTGTCAAAGATGTAGAGAATTTCTCTAAAAGAATCTTGAGTTTGAATGTGCCTGTCTGTAATTGGGTGGATTTTCAAAGATACATGTGTATAAGAAATAAATTTTGCCTGTGTTAAAAATCTATTAAGAATTCTGATAAATTAATATATCTTCTTTTTTTTTTTTTTGCAGGGGGCTATTCATGCCAAGTATGATGCAATTGATAAAGACACTCCAATTCCTACAGATAGACAAGTAAGATTTAGATTTTCTTAAGCAATCTAAGATAATTCTGCCAAATGTTTAAATAATAGAAAAACATGAGGAAATTTTCTTCTTTTAATTTGAATATTCAGCAGTTGTCATACATATGGTGATAGGGTAAGCATAGCTCTTATGCTCATTAATTAGTGAGTTAGGACTATTCCTTAAAGAAGTTTAGGTCAAGTAACATTTTTTAATAATTATAATTCTTCACATGAAGAATTTGCCCTATATTTAGACTAGTTGTAAAGGAAGATATTATTTAAAACTGTATTACTACATACCTTTTTTAAAGACTGGAATGGTCTGTTTGCCCGGTTTAAGTATACATAAAATTTCTTTGGTGTTTCCAGAGAATTAATATAAAATTCAATAGCTTTAGGCACCAGGATTATGAAGGTGATCTCTGCTAAAATTCATATTGTAATATCTCGTTTTCCTTATCTTGGGCTTTTTAAGAGATCACTCTGTTATAGTTCCACCATATTATTTTGGTACTTTACAGATTGAAGTGGATATTCCTCGTTGTCATCAATATGATGAGCTGTTATCGTCACCAGAAGGTCATGCAAAATTTAGGCGTGTATTGAAAGCCTGGGTAGTATCCCATCCTGATCTTGTGTATTGGCAAGGTAACTTTTTTTTTCCCCCTAATTATTAAGACTCTTGTAGTATTAAGAAAATGTTGCATGTTTGGCTTTGAGAAAAAGTCAATACTAAAGCTATGATTAATTTTTTTTGACAGGGTTATATGAGAACTTTTTTTAAAACTTTGTCTAAATATTTAGAAGATAGATGTAATTAAAATGCATGGTATTTAAAATGGGACATCTTACCATCACATTGATTAGAAAAGGATAAAGACTGGTGCTGTTGTAATCTTTGTGGATAATTTTTTCCACACTTAAGGATATAATAAAATAATTTTAGGCCATAAATAATTTTTGATTAGTTGAGATTCTTAACATTTAATGATTTACCAATTTATGCTTATCATGGTTGTTAGAAGTTGGAGAATAGGATATCATCCAAAACTGTTCATTTTATTGTCTCTTTATTTATTTATTAGTATCTTTAATGCTCAGATCTTTGATTGTTTTGCTTTTGTCATTATTATTTTTGTGGTTACTGATAAATTCATGAATGAGAAACCTATTCTACCCAGCCCTATTTTTAAATATGTTGTTCTGAATTGTAGTTCTTATATTTCAGTTCTCTGTCGATTTCTTACTGGCTAAACTTAAAATGAAAGTATTGTTTTTACTAAATCTGTCCATTTTAGAAGAGTTCTGTATCTTCCTAATAATCATATGTACAGTCTATCAGTATGATAACATATGAGCAGTATTACTATTATTAAAAGAAACATGCCATATATTTGTGTTTCACTTAACAGTTTTTGAAGTCCCCCCCGCCGCCCCCATAATCCCAAAGAAATGTGTAAGGCAAATCTGCATCTCCTAAATGTGAAAACTTGCTTGGAGATGTTAAAATGATTGCCAGGACCACACAGTCAGAGTCAGAGATGGAACGACTATATTCCAGGCCTTCTAACATTTTTACATTTCTCTGTAATTATACTCCTCTCTTCCCTCAACAATATTGATATAATAAGAGCTAATTTGTATTGGACACTTAAAAACTTACTAGGTGCCAAACACAATCACTTACTGATCACAATAACTCATGAGGAAATACACTTCTGGGTGGGTAATACTTAAAACAATGCTCAGTCTACACAGAGGTAATACAGAGACTGAGTAAGGTATATATCTACTATTCTACTCAATTATATTCATTGCACACCTTTCTCCCCATCCCCCACCAACAGGTCTTGACTCACTTTGTGCTCCATTCCTATATTTGAATTTTAATAATGAAGGTAAGCCTTTTTTCATTTAAATAATCATTGTCTATGTTATTCTGTAATATTTAATCAAACATGAGTGTTTCTTTTTTTTGTAAGATTCTTGCACTCTTCCTGGTAGATACTGCAAATTTCTGTGAAATAACCTCTCAGATTTATTTTAGAGAATTTTAAGAATTAATTCATTATTGAAGTGCTTCAGTGGTGACCAAGAAGTGACTAGAAATTTTGGGAGAAACTAACCGATTATTCTAAATGCATTCACAAACCCTTTTAGTGACCATTTTTAATGAAACTTTGAGAAAATTGTGACTTCTGAAGAAATTATTAGATTTTAGTCTAAGTATACTTTCTAAAGAATTTGCAAAGAAATTTATATTGGCTGCCTTTTCCCCAGTCTTGTATCTCCAAAGTCTACCACCTTCTTAATGGAGACTTCTCGTATTTATTTATTTATTTATTTTTTCTGATCCCAAATAACACTTTGTATTTCAGGAAATCTCGTATCAGTCTTGTATTATACTTATTTATACACTAATATGGTAACAGTTTTTGGTTGACAGCTTTTTTATGACAGGTTTTTTTTTTTTTTTTTTAATTTTCTTCTCCTGTACTGTAATGCCTTTTTTATAGAAAACTTTTCAATAAATATTTGTTAAATTGAATTGGCTCAAGTCCCATGTCCCTAATGATATCACACATAGAGCATGTTACCATGTATAGCATGAATCCCTAGAAGCCTCAATTCCAAAATTGCCATCTTTTCAAATTCTATTTCATGTAATTAGAATTTGCATAGACTTCTGTAATTGGGTGGAGATAGTATAACCCTAGAGAAATGAAGTTCACTATTTGAATAGTTTTAAAAATGAACTGTTCTCTGATATCATTACTCATTAATCTAGACTAGAAATTTTGCTGTGTTTAGTTAGGCATAGCCCATTTTCATACATATTGATCTGAAGATAGTAAGGAATCTGTGTTTGAAAGTGTAATTTATGGCTAGCATTACTAAAATCTAAAGTTTTCACACTTTTGTTTCTATCAACAGTAATTCTGAATCATGAAGTTTGTGTAACTCGTTAATAATTATCATGTTTAGAGATGAAAAAATTTTATAAAGTTCAAGTAATAAAGGCTTTTATTATTCTGAAATATAATGAGTGCCACGGTAGTTTGAAATTGAAAGCTCCCAGAGTGGTTATCATTTCTTTTTGTCCATAATATTTTCTGTTTTAAATGGCAGAGACTTTCTTCCCTTACTTTTGTTTTTCCAGCACTTATTATCATAATTATTACTTAACACTGGACTCAGGGCATGTGTACTCAGTGAAGTGAATGAATGAAGTGAATACCCTTTAACTAATTTGTTATCTGCCTTTGTTTTATTCTCTCTTAGCCTTGGCATATGCGTGTATGTCTGCTTTTATTCCAAAATACCTATATAACTTCTTCTTGAAAGACAATTCACATGTAATACAAGGTAAGCAAATGTCTTTCCTTGCCTTTAATAGGGAAAGCGCTTATGTCAAAAGTAACCAAAGCTCATTGAATTTATGATTTTGACCCAGTAAAATATGGTAATTATCTGTCAGTAAAATCCATGCAGATCATAAAGGTTAGTCTTTCCTCCAGGTACACAAAAATTATGATATTTTTCTAATGACTATTTATTTTCTGAACTTAGTTCTGTTCAAATGCAAGCATGTTAGTCTAAGAAAAGGAAAAGAGACTGCTATTTGCTTCTCTCACAATTAAAATAGCCCATAAAAAGCTTTACTCTGAGCAAGCCTATTGTGAATTAGTAAAAAGTTTAAATATAGTTTAAGTGTAAGTGGAATATTAAGAAACTTCTTATTCGTCTCCAGTGTCGTCACTAGGTGGGTGCAGGGATGTGAACAGCACCCCATGATACTGTCAGAGGGGTGACACCAAAGTGACCCTAGGGTCCCTGGTGGCTGGCATCACTAGGATTGGTGTCACTTGTCACCCAGTAACTCGTCACTGCCCCCCTATACCTGCCAGATGCAGGCAACTGGGCCAAGGCACCTGCCACTGGGTGGAGAGGAGGGTCCCCACCTTGGCCAATGAAAGAAGGGAAGAACTGCAGGGAGATGTGGGGGGCAGGGCGCTTAGCCCTGTGGTGGGATGGGGGAGATTCACCTGCTGTTCCCACCCACAGAGGGGGAGGTGACACCATGAGTTACCGCACTGGGTGACACCAACCCTAGTGACGCCACTGTTCATCTCAATCCTCATGCTTTTTTTCTCATCCAGAATATCCTCCCTCTTTCTTGTACTTATCTAAAATATAACCCTCCCTTAAGAATCCACGTCATAGCAAAGCCCATTTGTGAATTCTTTCAGGACTACTTCAGCCCTCTTTAAATTTCTAATATAATTTTCTGAACTCCTTTTTGGAGGTAATATAGCAGAGAACTTAAGAATATGTACCTTTAAATCAGACAAACCTCACTTAAAATTTAAGCTTCATTACTTATTGTAATCTTGGGCAAATTCCTTAAGTGCTCTACATCATTTCATTCATGTGTAAAATAAATATTGTTGTAAAGATTAAACATAATAAAATATGTAGACTGCCTGCCAAAGAGAAACAAGGGATAAATGCTATTATTAATTAATTTTTTTCACTAGTATTATTACCATGGCATTCCATATTGTTTTCTGTCTTATCTTTACAAGATTCCAAATGTTTTCAGGACAAGGAATTTTGTTATACTTTTGTATTTCTTTTGGGACACACTACAAAGCTGGTCGCACAGTATCCCCTTTTACTGTTTTTATGTTATTTTTCAGATACTCCCTAATTTAGAGTTTTTACTTATACATATTTTTCTCATTCATACTGCTAAATTTTAAACAAATAGAAGCTGGTGCTCTGTTTTATATTTGCATCATCGTTTTAAGCACCCCATTTGAATAGATGAAATAGGAAAACTAGAAACTGTGTTTGAATTACCAATTCTCAATAAGTGGGATCTCAGTTAATATTTTCATTACATTAGTAGTGAGTATAAACTTAGAATGTCAGAGGTCAATATGATGGGAATATAATTAGAAAGTAAAATGTAAATTAAAAAAAAAAACTGAAAATAGGAGAAGTAAACGAATACGGATAAATAGCTCAGCACATAAAAACATTTTTTCCAGCATCTTCTACATTGAAAACTTTTCAAATTGAGGCATGAAATTATTCATATATCTTTTTAGTGTCTACAATATTGAGGTTCTAGAAATTAAAATAATGATTCAGTGCCTCTCTGTTAGTTTTGTAATATAAACTATTGATTTATATTTGCATTTTGAAATGTTTTCATTTGAAATAGATATGTGCATATCTATAAATGGGAAAGAAAAATGCATAGTAGAAAGAATAATCTTCAATGTGTAATGTACAGAAAAAATTACATTCTGAATAGTTCACAACTATTTATTTTGAGGAAGCTTCAAATAAATCATAGATCCATAGTTAGCCCATGTACATATACTTGCATTGCAAGTTCCTACATACCATTCATAGTAATGATGAGACATGTTTCTTCTCTTACTAGGAATTAGTCTTTAAAAATGAAGATAGATCAACACCTTACTACTGAATATTTATAGTTAAAAATAATTTTAGAAAGATTTGAGAGATGAGCAGAATAGGGTCAAAAGTTTATATATTTTAAATGTTAATAGATATTGTCAAATTACTTTGCAAAACGTTGTAATGGTTCACATTGCTAATACCCAATTCTGTACATATTCCTGTAATGTGAACTTGTCTAAAGTTGGGATTAATAGGAGAATGTTTTTTTAGAGGGCACAACTTTTTGCTTTCAATTTTTATAATCAAGGAGATGTGTTCTTTGTAGGTTAATTTAGTAAGCCCATCTAACTAGAAGGGACATGCAGTGCCATCCTCAGTGATGTCCTGTCAGGGTGTGTCCTGTACCTTACTAATAGGAATATATCTCATCCTTATTCATAGTTCCCTTTAAATTTTACCCTTATCAATGATGTTATAGAATTGACAGTTTACTCTCTAAGCTTCTAGTGACACCAAAATGAGTGAACTTAATTCATCTTGGATAATACCAGTAGATTTCATAGGTTATGCAACGTAGGTAATAATCTAATCTGTGAGTGACCAAAGACAAACTGAAAAGATCGAAGATAGAAAATAATCCAGTTGGCATTTGTGTACTACAAAAGGTGATTCCTTAATCCTCATTTAAATATGTCAGCAACATAGTGCTGTTATTTTTAAAGCTAATATAAAACTGCAATATTGACTGAACATTCACATATAAGTTGGTTCTTTGAAGAGAGCAATAAAGTAGACAAAACTTTAGCTAGACTGACAAAGAAAAAGAGAAAAGATGCAAATAATCAAAAATATGGAAGTGAAGATATTACAACTGACTCAGTAGAAATAAAAAAGGAACATAAGCGAATACTACGAAACAACTGTGTGCCAAAAAACTTGATGACTTACGTGAAATGGGGAAATTTCCACAAACACATAGTCTGACTAAATGGACTCAAGAAGAAATAGAAAATCTCAACAAACCCAAAACAAGTGAAGAGAATAAATCAGTAATCAAAAAACCTCCCGGCAACAAAAAAATCCTGGATCAGATGGCTTCACTGGGGAATTCTACCAAACATTTAAAGAATTAACACCAATCCTGCTCAAACTCTTCCAAAATGTAGAGGAGGAAGCAACATTTCCTAGCTTATTCTTTGAAGCCAGCATTACCCTCATACAAAAGCCAGACGTAGACATCACAAGAAAACTACAGACCGATATTTCTTATGAATAAACATACAAAAATTTTCAACAAAATATTAGCAGAGTTCCACAGCATATTAAAAGAACTATACACCATGACCAAGAGCGATTTACTCCAGGAATGCAAGGGTGGTTCAACAGTAGAAAATCAATCAGTGTAATCCACCTCATTACTAGAACAAAGGAGGGGAACCACATCATCCTTTCAACCTGCAGAAAAGACATTTGATAAAATTCAACACCCTCTCTTGATAAAAACACTTAACAAGTTAAGAATAGAGAGGAAATTCCTCAGTATGATTAAGGGCATTTATGAAAAACAAACAGCCAACATTATACCCAATGGAGAAAGATTGAGAGCTTTCCCCTTAACATTGTGAACAAGACAAGGATGCTTGCTTTCACCACTGCTGTTTAATATTGTACTAGAAGTCCTAGCCAGAGCATTAAGGCAATAAAAAGAAATAAAAGTTATCCAAACTAGGAAGGAAGAAGTAAAGCTATCCTTATTTGTAGATGACATGCTCCTTTATATAGAAAATCCCAAAGAATCCACAAGAAAGGCTTCTAGAGTTAATAGAGGAATTCAGCAAAGTTGCGGGGTACCATGTCAATACACAAAAATTAGTTGGACTTCTATGCACCAGCAATGAGCAATCTGAAAAAGAAATTAAGAAAACAATTGCATTTACAATAGTATCTAAAAGAACAAAACACATAGGTATAAATTTAATCAGGAATATGCCAGGCTTATACAATGAAAATTAAAAAACACTGTGGAAAGAGATTAAAACCAAAAACCTGTTGCCATCGAGTAGCTTCCAACTCGTAGCAACCCTACAGGACACAGCAGAACTGCCCCATAAAGTTTTCAAGGCTGTAATCTTTACGGGAGCAGACTGCCAACATTTTTTCTCCCACGGAGTGGCTGGTGGGTTCAAACCTCTGCCTTTCAGTTAGCAACCAGCACTTAACTACTGCAGCACCAGGGCTCCTTGGAAGAGATTAAGCAGAGCTATATAAATGGAACGGCATTTCTTGTTTGTAGACTGGAGGACTTAACATCATTAGGATAGCAGTGCTACCCAAAGCGATCAATAGATTTAAGGCAATCCTGATCAAAATTCCAACAGCCTTCTTTTCAAAAATGGAAAAAACAGCAGTCCTCAAATTGATACGGAATAGCAAAGGGCCCCAAGTAGCCAGAGCAATTTTGAAGAAGAATAAAGTATGAGGATTCATACTTTCTGATTGCAAAATATACTATACAGCTACAGTAATCACAACAGTCTGTTATTGCTATAATAATAAACACATAGACCAATGGAATAGAATTGACAGTCCAGAAATAAACCCACATATCTATAGTCGACTGATTTTTGAGAAGGTTACTAAGTCTGAAATGTCTCTTTAATAAATGGTTCTGGGAAAACTGTATATCCACGTGCAAAACATGAAGCTGGACTCATACCTCATATCATACACAAAAATTAACTCAAAAATGGATCAAGGACCTAAATGTAAGAAATAAAACTCCTAGAAGATAACATAGGACATGGCTTTGGGGCCTAGTTTTTAACAATGAATTTTTAGATTTGCCATCAAAAGCACAAGCAACAAAAGATAAAATAGATATATTGGACTTCATCAAAACTAAAAACTTCTGTTCAGCAAAGGACTTTACT